TTTTTATTTACAGTCAACTCTCGATATAGTGAAGGACTAATTAATTCTCGATATAGATATAGTGTGAATTTTACTAATCGCCCGAACACCTTCACTATAACGAGGTTTGACTGTAAATAAAAATTGGGAATTTACATACGAACACAAATAAGCTATGCACGTGAGCAGTCTGCATCTATGAACAAAAAGCATTTTATGCAAATCCGATTGTTGTTTAGCTAATTCAATTCAATCGAGAATAGGCTTTTTTTGTTTGATGCATGAAATAAAGAAATTCTCACAGTAATGAATGTTTCTTTATAAACAAAAGCACCTTATCTGATTAGAACATGATACAATAGTTTTCAAGCACATTTTCGTATGTTATTGTTGAACATAGAACTGCACTGCAAAAAAAAAAAAATATAACATTTGACGCGTTTGATCATTAATGCATGTGCATACAATACTAAAGATCTTCTTAGAAGACAATAAAAGCTGTTGTTGATGTAGTATAAATAAGGACGTTGTTGTAGTTCACAATGCATAATGTGGGTATTTTCTAGTCCTTGAAAGGTGGAAAGTTCTGGATCAAGACCTGGTATTTTAACCAGGAATTGAAACAAGGTTCAGGATTTTTCTGATTTACATCACCAAATCCAGCATAACAATAATTCAAATCCAGAATTTGAAATTCCGGACCAAAGTACGATGTTACAGAGATACAAACAATTCTTTTAGGTTTAGATTTGTTTCTTCAAACATGATAACAATGTATTCTTACAATATTGCGTCATTACACTAAAAAAAACTATAAAATAACATGTTATGTCGTGCAACACAAAAATCGAGCGAGAAACTAGTTCAAGTACGACAAGTCATCGAACTAACTCTTTTAGTACTTAAAGTTCGTGTTGGTATCAATTTTAATCATTCCGACATTACTTTCATTTAGTTACCTACATACCGTATCATTCTATTTACTATCTGATTCCCGGTTGTACCAAATTTTTCTCTTTTGATTTCTTTTCCATATTTTCATATGTTTGGAAAAAATTTTAAACCCTGATATATCTTAGCGTTAGGGGTAAAACGGTAAGGGCTTCGTCAAAATCTAGACGGTGGTTTCACTGTTGAAAAATTTGTGGGGTAAAGTGTACACGTGCGTATATCAACAAAAATTATGTATTTAGTTTTAAGACTTTAAGGAGATATTTTCTCGATTTATTTGTATTATTTATTTTTGATTACATTGTTCTATTGGCGCAGCACGTGAAAATGTCAATTAAACATTTTTGGCTTTGCATGTGAGAGGATGATTTTATCTTATGTTAATTTTTAGATTCTTATCATTATTCTTAGTTGGTTAATCGATTAAAAAGCCTAGCCTGCTATTGTTTATACCCTCACACACGTCACACAAGATACAAGTTACATTTGTCAGTATAACACAGACATAGGCACACAGACCATCTTCACAAATTGACCCTAGACAATTGAGGATCAACACGGATGGCGTGATGTCGTGAGGATGCTTTGAGTTCCGAGTAAAAGTGTCTCAGATCATGCGGTTTCTTTTGAATCGAATAGCCCATTTCTGAAAATAGACTCTTTTGTTTTCTATAATAATACTAGTCGTTCAAATAGTGGGACTGGAATTTGACATAACGATAAATTCAATTCATCTCATCTCACAATGCAATAAATGCATTTTCCCACGTAAACTAAGAAAACAAACAAGCAAAATAAGCAAATAAGTAAAATAAGCAAATTCAACTTTGAGTGTATTAGTTCAGTCATGTAAACCCTTAGCATTAGTAGAATATGTTCTGGATGTACATGTACTTATTACGTAGTGTTATGTTCGGGATGTACTTATTAGGAGAAGTTGTTATCGATATCGATATCCTATATGTAAAAGAATATTAATTAATGTTGTCTCACAGTGAACCAAAACTTTTGAAAAATAAGAAGAGTAATATAAATAATAATAAACTCGGACGAGAGTTAAACTCACAAAATCAATAATATGACCAGAAAAAAGTAGTTAAACATCGGAGCATCGGAGGATTTAACAACCCCACGTTCCTTTTTGGGTGGTTTTCCTTGAACATTATGTTACATAGGAAAAATTGGGTTTAGTGCCCTACTGAGTATGCGCGGATGCATAAATGAAGCGTGTGCCTATTCAACATTCGATGAATACATCAATTAATTTTAAAAATGAAAACACGAGCGAAGTTCAGAGTTGTTTGTTGTTGTTAGTTATTGGCTAAAATTTCAAATTATAAATATACATGTTCATGTATTTGGTTTGGCGTAAGAGACTCGCAAATCATGAAATACAATAAATGCACGTTGTGCATTTATTGCATATTAACTACGTATGCACATTAGCCAAATACATACGTAGTTGTTTAATGTACATGTATGCCAAATCGGTAATCTTTTTGATAATGGGAAAATCAACAAAATTTTACAAGCGACAAGTAAGGTCCAAAAATATATGTAATTAATATCATTTGGGAACCAACTGTATTGTAAATATAATCAAATTTATAGACTCGAAAAGAACGAAAACTCAAATCACTTACTGCAGAAGCATTAATTTCATCTTCATCCTCCTCCGTTTCCCCTCCGAAGCCAACCACGAAATTCAAAAAATCATCGTCAAAGCAATCCACTTTGACTTTATCATCCGGGGCCATAGCTTCTATAAAGAAACATCGCGACGAATTTTTAAAAGGATCAGATAAAATCAAGCCGAAAAATAACCACGATGACAGAGACAAACAAGAGCAGATGGATGTAGACGACAATAAGGGAAATCAGGATGGTAAGAAGAAAAAAGAACGAAGAAAAACCAACGAAGGGAGACCAGATTATGTCGATATTTTCAGTGGAAAGAAAACCTTTAAAAAGATTCAAGAGTAAGGAATTATTAAATATTCACACTCGATCGATCAAAAAAATTCACATTTAATAATCATTCAAAATTTCAGTCAATAGTCAGTCAAAAGAACTTTTATTATTAAAATTTATTAAATTTGGCTTTTTTTTCGAAAATCTAATGCGCTCGTGTGTATTAATTAGTGTATGTATGTATATATATATATTCTTCGAATAAAAATAGGTACGATCATTATTAAAAACTTGGCAGGAAAATAATAATAATAATATCCTATTTCACCCGAAAAATGTGCATGTGAATGTATTTGTAGAATAAAAATAAAACAAAAAGGGAATTCAAAAAAGGGGATTTAATTTTTTTGATTACTTCTACCAACGAGATCACTAGTCATCGTTGGTAGACTATTTTCTATTAGTTGCAGGCCGTATGTGTGTTTATAGAAGAATTAAATGTTTTCAAACTTTTTTTGTAGTCGTCATTTTTATCTTTTATCAAAAGAAATAAAGAAAAAAGAAGGAAAATAAGAAGTGTTGTAATTAGTCGTCGTCGTCATTTTTTTCGAAAAAATAATGTTCACAGAAAAGAAGAATATGTATGTGAACAAAATATTTTACAGAGTATATTTATGTTATGTATCTATATTACAAAAGAGTGAAATATTTCGGATGTTTGAAAGATGTATATTACAGAAATGTGCGGGAGTTAATGAAATTTAAGGGTGAAAGTTACTATTTAGGAAAAGAGAATTACAAGTTTTGTTGTGTTTTGTGTTTTCACAGATATTTATAAGAAGGGTTGCTTCCTTTTTTTTTTTTTTTTTTGCTTAGGTAACTCGGCCGAGTTAAATGAATCTTAAAGATTAATAATATCGAAATGCTTAGAAATGTCTTGGCTTGTAGTAGTAGTGGTGGTGGTATTAGTAATATTATGCTGCTGTAATTCTTAGAATTAAATTTCTCTTTTCCGAAGAGTATATATCCATATCCATATCCATATTCATTTACATTAATGGGATAGAAATATCATGCGAAAAGATGTGAACTGCTCTCTCCGAAAGTTCCTTTATTAATTTCCAAAGCTTGATCATCAGCAGTAGAACAATGTGATGGGATTTCGATGGGGATACTAGTAGAATATGAATAGCAACAAACAGCATCCTCTTGATCGAAATCATTTCCACCGTAGGTGGTGGTTTTGATATCATTGAAATCATCATAACGTCTTAACAAAATTTGCTGGTGTCGTTGGTGTAATTCATATTGACGATCGATTGTAGATACACTTGAAAGCGATGAAGATAAATTAGAGGAATAAGAGGACGAAGCGGACGAAGGAGGAGACACCATTTTCACATTATTCTTATTATCTTCTTTATCATTAATGTTATGATTATATTTTGAGTATTGATATTCGTCTGGGAATACCGTTGATGACGATGTTGTTGTTATTGCGAGTGAGAATCGATAATGGTTTGGTGTTGGATGTGTAGTTGAAGTGAATTCAGTTGATTGGCATTCCAATGAACAATAGAGACTGTCATTATCAAAGATTTGTTTGCCGCACCCACAAATACACCAGTCGCAATCCATTATTTATTATTTGTTTATTAGAGAAAATATCGAAGAAAAGAGAGGAAAAATAGTGTAGGATATTAAGAATTAATTTTTATTTCGAAGTATCGTTAGACTTTTATATATTTTTTTGTGCGGTATTTTTTTTATTTACATGTACTGTACACTATATCACTATATCAATAAACAAAATAGACTATCAATATATCAATCTAGTATAAAATGTATAAATAATACACAACAACGCCATATAGCCATATTTATATTGTTTATTTATTTATTTATTTATTTATTTATACATTATAATAATATAATATATAAAAAAATTTTATTTTTTATATACCCCCCCTGTGATTATCAAATTAACATGTCGAGTTCGCGAGATTGACTTTCTGTTCCGTTCTCATCGATTACATAACTCCAGAAACACAAAACACTTGTGAGGTCGTGTATGATAGCTTTGATCTTGTCTCGATGAAACTCGTTCATTGATGCCGACCTCAACTAGGGCTGATTATTTCGCTCTTCTCTGACGTTCTTTCCTGTATTTGTCTGCATGTGGAAGAACCTTTCTGCTGGATACAATGTCATGGGTTGCCAACTTCTTTCTTAAGCCCGTCCCGTTTACGATTCATCGAGTTGCGTTTTGCGCGAGAGATTTGAGTTAATGTCATCCTATTGACGATACATTGGTTGCATCTCGACCACCTAAGACAGGGTGAAGTTTATCAATAAGAACGTTGTATATAAACACGAAAGGTTGGCACGCGTGACGGTCATAAAGTCGTGTCGTTTTTAGATCGATCACTGTTCCGACCGTACATTCAGGCTTTAAGTTTTCAAGCTTCACATCAAGACACACTAACTAGTCGGAACCTTGCTCGCTCCAGGTTTGTGCGTTCTGCTGATTTTCTAAAAAAAAAAACTTCTTTGATGAACGAGACTGTTCTCGAATTTCTTGTACTTGGCTTTGTATCAATCATGCTTGCGGCTAACTTCTGGGTATGGTTATGTGTGTTTCTGCGTCTACATCAGCAAGTCGCGTCATTAGTTATTCATAATTTCACGATTTTGATGGGTGTGGCTGCTTATGCTCCAACCTCGTCATTAATCAGGCTCTTCGCTGTGGGTGGCTCCTTGTGGCTTGTGTTGCAACCATGAATGTAAATTAAAATATCATTCGCATCCCGCGCTCAATCATTGAACAATCTTTCTTTTTTACGCATTTCATTATTCACTCGGAAGAGCTGCGATTTGAGGAAAATGCTTAATGACCACTTATAAGCTTCGCAATAATTAATGTCGTATTCGTCGCTCTTTTTCACACGCATATAACCCCATGATGCTATATAAGTTAACAATGTCACCAAAGAGACAGGGAACCCTTTACTAATTGTTTGCTTTTCTTCCTTAGGTCGTGAGATATAAGAGATTCGGGGTACTATTTGCTATATATTACTCCAATATTATTTATTATTTGATATCATAGAGCAAGAAATCGCTCGTCAAGACCTTGAATTATGTGGGGTATGGTGCACACCATCTAAAGTCAGCAAAAATTTATATTTTGTAAAATGTATAAACTTCTCAACCAAAATTTAATCCGTAAATATGGTAGAATAACCCCTTATTCTACCATATTAAATTTTGAATTTTCTTAGTTGAGAAGTTTATACATTTTATAAAATATAAATGTTTGCTGACTTTAGATGAGATAATGAATAACACACGTACGTACATTTTAAACATGTACATCCAATCAAATTTTTCGTACCACAATTATGTACGATGTTTGTTTACCTATCTAAAGAAGGAGTGAGACAACTTGTGGACTTTTAGATAGGGTCGGACAATTACGTATCGGAGCCAACAAATTTGTCGTTAACAAGTTTGATTTTATAGCTTATCAGTTATAAATCATTTTTAAATAATACACCCGAATATCACTCATATTCACAATGAAATGTATTAACTATTAAAAAGAAACAAGGAGAAACATTGCTCCCTACATTTTTACAATAACTAATACAAAAAATAGTTAAATAAGTAAGACAAGAAAAAAAGAATATTCTTGGTCTTGAATTTATAAAGTTAAAGTTATTATATATTTTTAATTTCAATAAAAATGAATTTATGAAATTTATTTTAATATTATTTTTTAATAAATATTTATATTATAAAATATTTTTATTTGATATTTATTATTTATAATCAATAACAAATTGAAAAGTTAACTTAAATTTTATTATATTTAAATAAAATATTAATATTAAATAAAATAAAAAAAATAATAAGAATGAGTTTAGTTAAATTTTTTTATAGTTATCACTTTTAAAAAAGTAAAATTAAATAATTATAAAGAAATATAAAGAAAGAAAGTTTATTATATTTATATATATATAATTGACAAAATTCTAGAATTATATATATAATTTATTAATAAAATACAGTAAAAATTAAAATTTTTGTTTTATATAAAAGTTTCAATTTTATTAAATAAATATTTTTTATTTTTATATCAAAATAAAAATTATAAGTTATATTTTAACATATATTTTTTCTAAATTTTTAGATTTAATCTAACAAAATTGTTTTAATTACAAAGTTATTGAAAAAATTTTTTATATTTAATTTTATATTTTATAATAACTTTATAATTAAAATAATTTATAAATTAATCTAATATTTTAAAAAAATTATTTATTAATAAAAGTAAAAACTTTATGTAAAACAAAGTTTTGATTTTTATTATATTTTACTAAATTACATGCATAATTCCATAATTTGTTAGTTATTATGTAAATAAAAAACTTACAAATATATATTTTTAATAAAATAAAATTTAATTAGATGACTTTAAATTTTTTTAAAAACTTTAAAATTTATTTTTTACTTATTTTATAATATAAAAATATGAATTTTACTTTTAAATAATATTAATTAATTAATTTTATTTTATAATTTTTGATTTAAGAAAATTGTAAGCTAGAAAATTCAAATTTTGAATATATAATCTTTAATATAAAAAATTTATAAGAATAATATAAAAATTTTGATATTAAATTTCAAAATAAAAATATTTTTAATTTTAATTTTTTATAACAATAAACAAAAAAATATTTAATCTCAAAATATTTATACTAAATATATTTCTAAATAATTCAAATATAATTATTTTTTATAGAATTTATTATATAATAACAATCAAAAATAATACAATAACATTAAAATTTATTAATTAAATATAGTAAAATATAGATTTTTCTTTTTAAATAAAAGTTTTAATTTTACTAATAAATATTTTTTATTTTTATATTAAAAATAAAGATAATATTACATATTTTAATATCTATTTTTTTCAGATTATTTAGATCTAATCTGATAAAGTTATTCTAATTGCATATAAAATTAATTATTTTTTTATAATTAAAACATATAAAAAATAATTAATTTTATATGCAATTAGAATAGCTTTATCAGATTAAATCTAAATAATCTAAAAAAATATATATATTAAAATATGTGATATTATCTTCATTTTAATATAAAAATAAAAAATATTTATTAGTAAAATCAAAACTTTTATTTAAAAAGAAAAATCTGTATTTTACTATATTTAATTAATAAATTTTGATATTGTTGTATTATTTCTGATTGTTACTGTAAATATACTTATAAAAATGAGTTTATTAAAATTAATTCTATATAATTATATTTTTTTTTAAAAATACTATTAATAATAAATAAAAAAACAAATATTTAACAAGTTAAAATTTTTAAAAAATTCATTAATTATAAATATTTATAAATAATTAAATTTAATATTTTTAAGTAATTAATAAAAAATAAATAGTCAAAAATTTTTATAATTATTCAATTTGATTTTTCTAATTGTTAAATAATTATGAAATATATTTTTTATTTTATTTTTCTCAATTTTGTAAAATAAATAAGATAATTAAATTTAAGTGTTAACATTTATTACAAACAAATTTAGCATTTAAAAATTTTTTAGATAATAAACATTTTAAGAATTATTATATAAATCTCTGAGATTTTAATTTATTTTAAAGAAAAATCATAAAGAATTCAAATTTAAATTATTATAAAAAGCTTAATAATATTATTCAATATTTTAATTAACCAAGTATCTGGTGATTTTTACTGAATGCATCCATTTCTTATAGAATAAATTAATAAGTTTGCTAAATAAATAATATCCATAGGGAGATATTATATTGTTAAACTAATGTATTTTATTAGTCTGACTTTATATGCAATCTCTTTTTTAATAGGAATAAAGAAATTAGTATAGTCAGCACATGACTTATAAATTAATATTAATGCTCTATGAAAAAAACCTTTTGAGAAAATTTGGGAATTTCCGATAAAAATCTTATTAATTCTAGAGCACCTCTTCTCATGGTATACTCCAAAACGAAAATGTTCCCAGAAGTGGTCACTATCGCTATTTTTTGAAATTCTATATTTGGTAGTATCCCAGACTATATTTTGACACAAGTATATACGTATATGCATAGCAGGCTCTGTATGTCATGATGACAAAAGCACCAACAAGATTTTTGATTATTCCATAGATCGACATACATGTACCAGATTTACTAATGAGACCTGGAACAATTACTGTTATTGTAAGGTATATTTAATTTAATTATACTATATTTACATTTTCCCGAATTATCCTTTTTGATTGTACGATTAATATGTATACTTATTGTACCACATAGAACGTTGAGTACAATACATGTATGTAT